AATCCGATCCTATTTTCCACCTCCCCACCGCTCAATCTATGTATGGTTAGAAAAATAATAAAATATTTCTGAAAGTAACAAAACTTCTCTCATCTCTGGGAGGAATGAACACATCAAAACCTGCATGCTGTCCTAAAGGGTCACATGGTGACACACTTGAGGTTTGGATATGGACAGAATTCTGAACAATTTTTTTCCTTTTTGGGTTACACCCGGCGATGTAATTATAAAAGAATCATAATAATTAAAAAAAAAAAAGTGAAAGGCAAGCGGCGGGAGCCGGACAGTACAGTGATAGGGCACTTGCCTTGCATGCAGCCTGGCTCGCCTGGACCTGTGCTCAGGGGACGTGTGTGCAGTGCTGGGGATTAAACCCAGATTCGTCACAAATGCCTTGCCTGCTGGATTATCTTTCTGGCATGCCAGACAAATCTTGTTATCAAAAACGTACACTTGGGTGTAAATATGATTGTTACTGAACCCTCGATAAGGACACGGTGCAGGGCTAGAGAGAGAGTACAGTGGTTAGGGCACAAGCCTTGCATGTGGCCACTGAGTGTTTGATTCTTGGCAACCCACATGGTACCCTGAGTTCACGCGGGAGGGGGGGCGCGGGGAGGAGGGCGGGAAGGGGAGTAAGCCCTGAGAATTGCCAGGAGTGGCCCAAAACAAAAAGCAAAACAAAACAGAAACAGATTTTATGTTTTTTTCTTTTGTTGGCGGGAGGGCACACCTGGCGACGCTCAGTTTACTCCTGGCTCTGCACTCAGGAATTACTCCTGGGATGCAGAGGATTGAATCTGGGTCACCAGCATGCAAGGCAAGCGCTGGATGATCTCTCCAGCCCCCGATTTTAAGTTGTATGTACTGGAAAGCTCCTGATTTGACCTCCTCTCAGGTACGGCAGGTGTCATCTGGCCTCAAAGTGAACGCAGTTATCCATAGAATTCCCCCAGTGCCTTGTCAGGAATACTGTCATCTTAGTCTTGCAAATCGGTCAGAACCCTTTGCTTGCCTTCTATCCTATAACCAACCAAGAAAGAAACATGGCTCCCAAGTGACACTGACTCTACGCTCTGGTCTGATGCCAAACGGAGTTAGCATAGCTGTCAACTACGTCTGGAAGTAGCAACTACCAGAGGCATTGAACTCAGGTAGTTTCACAACCCGGGCGCCCAGAGAGGAGGGCTTTACATCAGTAGAAAAGAGCAGGTAATTTCTTCCTCAGGTGAAATTGACCTGCTTGCATTGTCTGCTAATCAATCCTAAGTATACCATCCTAAGCAGATTTCATTTGTAATTTCTCCAAGGAGGCTTCCCCCTGGCTGAGTTCCAAGCCAAGAGGAACTTCCTTAGAAGTGATTCTAGATTCGGGCTAGTGTTGAAGGGAATCAAATCCCCTTCTAGGTAATCAGTAAGCGAACCAATCAGGGAGAACAGAGGCTTCTGAAGACCTATTCTAAGCGCTGCCTTCTTTTATAAATGAGCCAACACGATCTGGGCGGATGATCATTTGGTACAAAAGGTATGGATGCCACTTCCTTTCAGAGCTTCAGCAAGAGGAAACCCCTTAGAGAAAACTCACTCAGGGCATAGTTTAAAATAACATTTTCTCTTTTTGAGGGTGGAGGAGGGGGTGGGGACTTGTGCCCCCCTATGGGGCAGAAGTCAAAGCAGGTTCAGCCTCCAGCAAGGCAAGGGCCATCCCTCCGGTATTCTCTCTCTGGTCCCAGTGAAAAGGAACAAATGGAATTCAGACAAGCAAAAAGATTCAGAAAAGCACACTATATGCTGGAAGAATACTACTAACCAGCACATCGAAAAGCAAATGTGAATGTTCAAATGCATGTCAAGAAAAGCACGAGAGCACCTGACAGAGAGCTCACCGGGCAGGTGTAGGATAACATTGCTCTGTCCTTTCTCCCTTGCCACAGGAGCTGAGCTTTATCAGGTTACACCCATCACGGTGCTCCCGAGTCACTCCCACTCCATTGATCTGTGACCACTTCTCGATGCGCTCTTGCCCAACCAGTTGATCGGCTTTGCCCCCTCATCAGAATCTGTGAATTACTCGTAAGGTCAGATCCTTCTAGGACACTGAAATTGTACTGTAAGTTAATATCGCCTTTCTCCTCTCCTTATGTCTTTTGAATCGTTGACTTTAAAGCAATGTCCCTTTTGTATAGATACAGGAAGACCGTTAATACTATGCTGTGTCACGTAGGCTTTCATTGGCTCTGAATATTATTCACTCCCGGGTATCTGCTTTCTGGACTTAAGCCTCAGTTGCCCTTGGTTCCCGATACCCCAAAGGCAGGGTCCCGACGAGGGACTGAATGGACCCAGGGCAAGCGGTGAGCTACCTTGGCATTGAAATGGGCCATGTCAAATTGGCGCAATTCTTAATTATAAGTTAAGAGCTTGATCATAGACAAATGCTGTCATGATCCAAAAGTAAGGACGAGACTAGGACTTTGTTAGGAATAGGAAAGACTATCTGGCCTGAGTGCTGTAGTCTGAGATCGAGATGACGCCAGGAGAGCAATTCTATAAGCTTAATGTATCTCTTACTGTGTCCATACAAAATGATTTATATTATGTATGCTTATACGTTTGTTGGACAAGGAGAATAGAAACACACCCAGGGGATTCAGTTCTAGGATGGGTCGTCTTGCTGAGACAGCATCTGTCCTAGAAGCTGCTTTCCCTGAGGGAAAGAACTTTACCCCTGTTGATGGTGACCACACCTATGTGTAAGCCCCAACCCCTCATGGTTTGGGGACTTATCTAGACTGTAAGAGTGGGCTGGAAAATTGGGATCAGGATCCAGACTCCAGAGCGAGAAGGAGAATGAAGGGGGATCGAGGAGGAGAATGAAGGAAGGCAGGAACATATTTTGTGTGCAGGGGGCCCAGATTCAATCCCTGGTACCACAAGTTCCCCTGAGGACCACCAGGAATAACACTAGAGTAGGGAGCCAGGAGTAACCCCATTGTACTGCCAGATGTGACTCAAAAGTCAAAAAGAAAGAAAAGCCGAAGATATGACAACTATAACTCCAGAAGGAGAAACTAAGGACTGAGGTCAAAGCACAGACAAACTAGTAGATGAATTAGCTACTATAAAAGCAGCTTTTGTTTATGTTCCATGATATCACTTTGTGAATGATGCAAGTAGGTGCCAGCAACTTTTTGTAGGTTTTAATCTATACTCTTGTTTATTCCTACAGAAACAAAATAAAAGAAGGTCAGAGACTATCTCTAATTTCTCTGCCTCATCTGTTGTAATGTAAGATGAACAAATAAGCTTGGGAACAGGGACACAAATGCCCACGGATGGGTAAGAAAATAGATGTGAGGAAGTAAATTCGGTCACAGACGCAGCCAAATCTTATAAATAAGTAGAATGGAGAGTCCTAAAACCTCAGTCGAGCTGCTTGTCTTCCGATGATCCCAGAGTCATGAAGAGCTCAAGCATCACTGTGTGTGCCACGATCCGTATTGGTCCCCCAAACAGGGAGATGATACAGGGGGTAGGGCGCATGCCTGCATGTTCAACCTGCATTCAATTCCTGGCACCAAATAGTACCCCCGGCACTGCTAACTTGCACCCTTGTACTGAACTCCTGGCCTGGATGTTGAGAATCACTGAGAGGCGCCAGGTCTCCTGAAAGGCCGGAACAAACAAACAGCCTGAGAGGCCCAAACAAACCTGAAAAATTCCTTTCCGTTTATAAATATATGCCAATGCTCCCCAAGAAGTTTACAGGGTTAAATATTAAGTTAGCATCCTAATATCTATTTTTTTGTGTGGCTATACCTGGCAGTGCTCAGGGCTCATTCCTGGCTCTGTGCTCAGAAATCACTCCTGGCAGATTTGGGGACCATATGGAGTATCAGGATCAAACCCAGGTTGGCCATGTGCAAGCAAGTGCTCTCCCCATTGTACTATGTCTCCGGTCCCACCATCTTCCTATCTAATATTTAAAATAGCTCTGGTATCTTGGGCTGGATCGATAGCACAGTGGTAGGGCATTTGCCTTGCGTGCAGCCAGCCTGGCCGAGCCGGGTTCGATTCCTTCACCCCTCTCGGAGAGCTCGGCAAGCTACCAAAAGTATCTCACCCAAACAGCAAAGCCTAGCAAGCTTCCCGTGACGTATTCAATATGCCAAACACAGTAACAAGTCTCAAAAAAATGGAGATGTTACTGGGCTCGTTCGAGCAAATCGATGAACAATAGGAGGATAGTGTTTGTGTTTATAGCTCTGGTATCTTAGAAAGTATTAGAACATATTTCTCCTCCAAAATATTCTATTGGGCTGGAAAGAGAGCTCAAAGGTCACAGGTTCAATTGTCATCACAGTTCCAATTGCCAAAGAAGATCCTGGTGGGCCTGACCTATTTATGATTCCCGGAAAGCACCACAATCAAGTGTGTGTGCCACTCTCAGCCATTAAAACAAAGTGGCAGGGGCGGGAGCCAAGGCAAACAGGCAACACTTTAAAACCCTGTCATTAGTTACAGATCCTTTATTGTTGTTTTAGAATCTCACCCAGCTATGTTCTGTGCTTACTCCTGACTCCGTGCTCAGGGGACACTCCTGGACAGGCTCAGGAAGACCCTATGTGATGCTGGGGATTGAACTGGGCCAGTCGCATATAAGGCAAGTGCCCCATCTGATGTACTATCTCTCTGGGTCTCGGTTACAAATTCTTGGGTTTAAATAGACGCAATATTATTTGTTCTACTCATTACTATTTGTTCCTTCCTTAATACAGTAACCTCAAGACTATTTCTGGAGCAAGTTCTCTGCAACACTTTGTATTCGTCCATATTCTGACAAAAAGCAGTAGAATGAGGCAGGAAGCTCAATACAGCAAAAGTTTTTAAGTCTCTCTTTACAATGTGGAGCAGTTAAAGTCAGGAATAAAATAACCAGGGAATGGTTAACTGCAAATTATCGTTTCTGTGCTATGATATCAAATACAATTATAACTTACCAGCTCTGCAATTCTGCAAACGTTTGTTTCATTTTCTTAATGGAGGTATCCATCTCTTCTTTAACTACAACTTGATACCGTGCAAGAGACACCGTACAGCGCTGGAGGTCTTTCATGGATTTTTCAATACTGGAACCTTGGGGGGAAAAAAACCCAAGAGTTAATTTTAAAAAATAAAACAAAAAGGAAGGCGGTGGAAAGATAGTAAAGCAGGCAGGGCACTTCCCTTGCCTCGATTGACCTGGGTTCAATCCCCAACACCTCATGTGATTCCTTAAGCCTCAGGGCTAGTAGTCCTTGAGCACAGCCAGGTGTGGCCCAAAGGCAAACAAAACGCAACACAGGTATTTCACAACTGAAAGGATGTTTTTATATATACTCTTTTCAGGGTCACACCCAGCAGTGCTCAGAGGGTAGGGGGGACTATGAAGACCTAGGCTCAAATAAATTCACTGTTCTGTCTCAAAACACGAGAGAAACCATGATTTTCAAATAATGGTACATTTCCCCTGAGAAAACATTGAAGTGAGATCTATGATCACTTCAACTTAGTGCCTCCAGAGTGTTTCCAGGCTGTGATACATGTAAACAGCTGCAGATTCTCTGACTTAAGGGAGCAGAATTAAGAATTCAGAGAGGAGAGGCCGGAGTGACAGTACAGCAGGTAGAGCGTTTACTTTGCACGCAACTGACCCAAATTGATTCTCAGAATCTTATTTGATCCCCCAGTACCACCAGGTGAAATCTGATTATCCCCTAAGCATCACCAGGTGTGCTCCCAAAACAAACCAAAAAAAGAACTCAGGAGTACTCTGCCCTGAGAATTTTTGATACCATTTCCCTCCTGAGTTACACAAAGATCAGAGTTGTGAAAAAAGAAAAAAGCCAGAGAGGATCCGCATTGCGCTGGTCTGAGAAATTATCTGAAACAGGGAAGAGAATCCCTGAAAGGACCACAGGACAGGGCCCACCAGGACACCTATGCAGGTAGTTCCTGTGCATACAGCCAGAGGGCGCACTGCTTCAGTAAGGTAAGATAAGGTAAAGGTAAAGGCCCTCCCGTTGATCGTCGATTTGCTGGAGAGGGCCCAGCAACGTCTCCATTGGAGACTTTGTTGTTACTGTGTCTGGCATATGGAATACTCTCAGTAGCTTGCCAGGCTCTCCGAGAGGGGCGGAGGGGTGGTCGCAAGGTCAACCTAAAGTCAACCTGCAGCTTCAGTAAGGAGGGAAAAGAAACCTAAGACTAAAGAGGGCTCCAATTCCACCCGACAAGCTTAAACACAAGCCTCAAACTCTTTTCAAATAACTGAGATCAGTATAAATTACAAGGCTATTTAAAGGAATATGAAAACATCTAGAAATTTAAAGAAAATTCACAATATCTCAATCCAACAAAAAACTGACAAAGGGAAAAAACTATAGCCTACATTAAGGAGCAAAATACACGAACGGAGACAAATGCCGAAATCAAGTCGATGAGGACATCGAACAACTAGTTTGTACATGTGCTTAGAACAACCATGTGCTTAAGCAGAGGGAAGCATAAGCATCCTGAGGAAAGATATTGAAAAAGGAAAAGGGCGCCAGAATGGTAGTACAGTAGCGGAAAGGGTGCTTGCCTTGCACACAACCAACCTGGGTTTGTTTGATCCCCAGCATCCCGAATGGGCCCCCGAACACTACTAGGAGTCATTTCTGAGCACAGAGCCAGGAGTGACTCCTGAGCATTGCTGGTGTAGCCCAAAACCCAAAGGAAAGTTTGAAGGAAAAAAAGACAAAAATGTTTTTTGAATTTTTTTTTTGCCTTGTTTCTGCGCCACGCCCTGAAGTGCTCAGCAGGCAACTCTCAGCTCTGCGCTAGGGGGTTGCTCCCTGGAGGCAGTGCCCAGGGGTGGTACCAGGGATTGAACCTAAGTAGGTTGGTTAAGTGTCTTAACCCCTGTACTAGCTCTCTGGCCCCAATATGTGGATTTTAAAAGACCCCAACTGAACCTTTTTTTTTTAATTTTTTGCTTTTTGGGTCACACCTGGCGATGCACAGGGGCTACTCTTGGCTCTGCACTCAGGAATTACTCCTGGCGGTGCTTGGGGGACCATATGGGATGCTGGGAATTGAACCCGAGTGGGCTGCGTGCAAGGCAAATGCCCTACCTGCTGTGATATCGCTCCAGCCCCCCACCCTCCCCGCAACTGAACCTTTCAAGGTGAGAAAAAGAAAAACAAAAAACAATGTCTATAATAAAAACAATGGACTGGATTATTAGTAGATTATAAACTTTTTAACAAGAGTAGTAAATTTGAAGACCGCAATTTTAGAAATCATCCAAAACGAAATAAAACTGAAAAATCATTACTGGAAAATAAAAACTTTCCTTTTCTTCCCCCTAGCAGGCCACTCTGCCTATAGATCTGGGTCGAGCTGGGGACTGCGGTCTCTGTGCCACAGGATGGGCTTTGTTAAAGTTGTCAAGAAGAAGGCGTACTTCAAGAGATACCAAGTGAAATTTCAAAGACAGCAAGAGATCAAAACCGACTACTGTGCTCAGAAATGTTTGTTAATCCAGGATAAAAATAAATACGACACACCAAAATACAGGGTGATGGTCCGTGTCACCAACAGAGACATCATTTCCCTTTCGGCTTATGTTTGTATAGGAGGAGATATGGTAGCTTGTGCAGCATATGCTCATGAACTTCCCAAGCATGGTGTGAAGGTTGGCCTGAAAAATTACGCTGTAGTGTACTAGTTTGCTGCTGGCCCACAGGCTTCTCAATAGATCTGGCATGTTCAGAATTTATAAAGGCCAAGTGCAGATAAATATAATGTGGAAAGCATTGACAAACAAACTGGTGCTGTCACCTGCTATTTGGATGCAGGAGTTATTTCCAGGACTGGAAAGAAAGTTTTTGGGGCCCTGAAAGGAGAGCAGGTGGAGGCTTGTCTATTCCTCACAGTACCAAACAATTCTCTGGCTATGACTCAGAAAGTAAGGAATTCAACACTGAAGTACGTCGGAAACACACAGGGTGGAACATTGCAGAGCAGATGCGTTAGCTAATGGAAGAAGATGAAGATGTCCACAAGAAAGTTTTCTCAATACATAAAGAACAATATCACTCCAGACACGATGGAGGAGATGTAGTCATATGGGCAAAATCTGTGTATGAGAAGCTCGTGTGGTCATATGGGGAAACCCTGTTTATGAGAAGAAACCTAAGAGAGAAGTTAAAAAGAAGAGGTGAAACTGTCCCAAAATGGTTCTTTGCCCAGAAGAAAGATTGGGTAACCTAGAAGAAAGCAAGTTTCCTCAGAGCTCAGGAGCAGACTGCTGAGAGCTAAAATCAAACCATGATTTTTATGAAGATTTTGCAAAGAAAGTAATAAATCTATTGACCAAGCAGTGAAGAAAAGAAAACTAAACTAAAAATGAAAACTTTGAGGGGCCTGAGAGTAAGTACAAGAGCTAGGTTCTTGCCTTGCTTTGTAAGGGGCCATTGGTGCTACAACCCTGGTTCTATTTGGACCACTTAAGGTCCTGGGCACCGCCAGAGGTCACGTCTGAGGTCTGAGGTCACGCCTGAGCAGAGCCAGGAACAGCTTTTTGCTGTTGATTAAACCCGGAGATAAAAATGAAGAAATGGGCTAGAGAGACAGTACAACAGGTAGGGTGTTTGCCTTGCTCAGAGGACGAGGAAAAGGAAGAAGAGGAAGAAGGACGACGAGGAGGAAACAAATGTAGTGAAGCAAATACAAGAAACAGGTTAATGCTAGAAAAGTCATTTCAGCGATATACTTTAATAATTTTCATCCACAAATAGAATTCTATCATTGTAACGAGACTGAGGGACACTTCAATCACTATCAGACTCCATGTAAGCACAGCATTTCCTACAGTGGGCCACACCACCCCCAATCTAAGGGTTGATAGCAGCCTCAGAGCAATTGAGAGTTGTTTTCTATTTCTTTAGAGGAGGTAGATTTCTGGGGAGGAGCTGGGTGATTTTTTTTTCTCTACTAAAAATGGGACAGAAGACCAAATAAGCTTCATAACTTCTGCTGTCCGCAGAGGAAAGGACTGGTAGCCACTGCCCAGAAAACAGAAAACGCATTACTTCCTGCGCTTCTGAAATCTATGAAAACAAACAAAAAAACCTGCTCTCCTCAGTCAAAAATACTGACTTTGCTCCACAAGGAAGGAGTCTGAGTTACCTAGCTTCTTGTTGGTGAAGACTGGCACATCTTCCAGGCCCAGATTTGAAAACTGAGATCCTGTGGTAGGTCTTGAGAGAGGTTTGGCAGCATTCCTATTTTGTTGAGAGTTCTGAGGAGAGTGCACAGGCAAAGACTTGGACTCCGAACCAGAGATGCCGTTCTCCAGCGCAGATCCTGTCAGAGAAAGACAACAGCGTCTTAGAGCACAGTTTGAAAGTTACTCAAACATATATATCACGGTCCTCCCGTTGTTCATCGATTTGCTCGAGCGGGCCCAGTAACGTCTCCATCATGAGACTTGTTACTGTGTTTGGCACATCGAATACATCACGGGTAGCTTGCCAGGCTCTGCCGTGCGGGCGAGATACTCTCGGTAGCTTGCCGGGCTCTCCGAGAGGGGCGGAGGAATCGAACTCGGGTCGGCCATGTTGGCCGCTTGTAAGGCAAACGCCCTACCGCTGTGCTGTCGCTCCAGCCCATATATATATATATATATATATATATATATATATATATATACACACACACACACACACACATATATATACACACACACATATATATACACACACACACAAAGGGAAAAAAAGGACATTTTATGTGAAACTATCGCTCTTAAAAAGTGAACAAAGAGAAATGACAAAGTAGGCCCAAGAGAGGAATCCTGGATGAGGCTATCAATAGTGCCTGGCTCAACCCTGGCTGGCTCGTCGCTCACAGCTGGCTCCTGCGCTGACCAGGGAGAAGCCTCCACAACAGCTTTGAGCATACAGGTGATGGTGGTCAATGTCAACTTCTCATTAAAGGTAGGTAAGGTAAGGTAAAGGCCCTCCCGTTGATCGTCGATTTGCTCGAGCGGGCCCAGTAACGTCTCCATTGGAGACTTTGTTGTTACTGTGTCTGACATATCGAATAGTCTGGGTAGCTTGCCGGGCTCTCCGAGAGGGGCGGAGGAATCGAACTCGGGTCGGCCATGTTGGCCGTTTGTAAGGCGAACGCCCTACCCGCTGTGCTATCGAGCAAGACTTGTATTTTTATAGATCTGTGGTAATCACAAAATGTAACTCTTTAACATAAGAGATAACAACACTGGCCAGAGAGATGGTATAGGAATTTTTTTGGAGGAGGCTCTTTGGATCTGGGGCAACACTAGGGGTGCTCAGGGGTCACTCCTGGCAGTGTTTGCTCCAGCCCGTTGAGCTACCTCTTTCAGCCCAGCAGTACAGCGTTTAGTTAAAGCACAGGTCTTGAAAGTTGTTCAACCAGGTTCAACCCCTGGCATCTCACGGTTCTCTAAATAAACACTGTCTGATATGGTCCCTAGCACTGCTGGGTGGCAATGCATCCTCAAGGCTAAGGCAGGAGCATGGAGGCTGGGGAATTAGGTCTCCTGAGCACTGCTTGGGAGGTTTTCCCCTATCAAAAAAGAGAGGGAGAGACACAGACTAAAAAGACAAACTATTTTTCAACAGAATGCAACTTAAAAGAAAATCTATTCGTAACTTACTCGTTCTATCCACTGGTGAGGCAGACTTGGGATCCTCCAGTTCTCTGGCATCTATTGAAAGGGTCTCCATGCCTTCACTGAACGAGTCCACAGACTCTGAATCATGGACAGCACCGTTGACATGGTGCCCGTTGACACCACCCTTCTCTGAGGAAGGCGTCGATTGCTCCTCTTGAGTGGAAACAGTTGGACTGGAATTCGGGAGGCTGTTACCTGCTCCCACTGCAGGTTTGGGTTTGCTTTTCTTCTTTTTATTCTAATGGTTATTAAAGATTTGGGGGGGGGGAGAAAGGCCCTCACAATTCTGAAAAGTAGCTCTAGCTACCCAAAGGCAAGCAATATTACCAATTTCTTGAAAACTTTTCTAGAAATCAAATACATTTTATATGCGTTGAATTACCAAAACAATTATGTGAAATGCTTCATAGATGCTCAAATACATAAGTATAAAAACTGTGTTTATGGCAAAATTCACAGTAAGAAAGATTGAATCGCAAAATAAAAACATGCAATTTATATAGTCAAATATATTCAGGCTTTGCACACACACACGTAAACACATTAATATACTAATGATAAGGTGGTATAAGATATAAGCAAACTGAACGAACTACATCTTCTGTCTTATAAGAGATTAAAAATAAAGCTATACTTTAGGGCTGGGGAGTTAGTTCAGAGCTGACACAGTTCACCTGCCTGACACAGCCGGCTAGTTCACCTGCCTGACACAGACGGCTCTGGGCTCAATTCCCAGCACTATGTCACTTCCCTAGTGCTATAGGTAGAGTCCTGTTGGGCCCAGCATTGCTTGGAAGTCTCCCTGCCCCCACCACAATAAAGCAGTTTAAAAAATAAATAAAAGTGCTCTACTTCCTAGGTTCTAGGAACATGGCAGAGGAAGCAACAGGAATCTGCCTCCCTACCTAGACAATAAAACTGCACCAACAAAATTACCTAATGTAATTATTTTGTAAGTCTGGAGTCTGTAGAAGACTTGCAGTTAGTTGCCAGAGGGGAAAAAAGGATAAAAAAAACTGTGATTAATTTCAATTCTTAGCAGCTACCTATTCCCTATCTCGACTCAGGAGATAGGGCAGCTGTATGGTTCTGGAGAACAGTCTACGTAGGAGGGAAATATCGGAGAGGTGTGCTATAATCTCAGATGACTGATTTAGATGATTAGAAGCACAGACAGGAATGCAAGCAACCATTGTTTGGTCCCTCCTCTGAGTGCTGTAAGCCTCTCCCTCTTGCTAAAGTGACTTCCAGGGGGTTGTAGCGATAGCACAGCAGGTAGGGCATTTGCCTTGCACACGGCCGACCCGGGTTCGATTCCCAGCATCCCATATGGTCCCCCAAGTATCACCAGGAGTAACCCGTGTACATCGCCGGGTGTAACCCAAAAAGCAAAATAAATAAATAAATAAAGAGACTTCCAGGTAAATTAAGGGATTAAGGAAGCAATACATTCCCCTCACTTCCCTAAAGCTAGAATGAGAGAGGTAGGATATTCTTTTTTTTTTTTTTTTTGAGAGGGAGTGCCCACATCTGATGAGGAGTTACTCCTGGTTCTGTGCTTCTGGTGGTGCTCAGGAGACCTCAGGGGATGTCAAGGATCGAACCTTAGTTGGCTGCATACAAGGCAAACACCCTGCCCATTGTAGTATCACTCTGATCCTAAGAGTAAGATATTCATAACAACAGCATATACAGAAAAATCATGAAACATGTGACCACACATGCTCACAGAAAGGCTCAGTAAAGAACTGAAAAGACCTTAAATTTATATGTCAGGCTGACTCTTGGCCAAAAGACTGCTTTATAATACCAAAAAAAAAAAAAAAAAAGCAAGCATTGAGCAAGGAGGAAAATATGATTTCCAGTGTTTCTACATTATAAGGTTCAACCAATTTTCAACAACAAAAGATCACACTTACAAAGAAATAACAATATATGGTTCACTTGAAGAAAAAAGAATGAATCAACAGAAATTCCCGATGACAGACATATTAACACTTTCAAAACAAATGTCTTAATGGTACTCAAAGAAGAAAAGAATAATATGAGAAAGCCATGTATATGAAGAATGAATTTAAATAACTTGGCTTTTTTGGGGGACGAGCAGTTTGAGTCATAATACCTGGCTGTTCTCAGGGTACCATATGCAGTGTTAGGTACTGAACTGGGGTCGGCTGTAAGGAAGGTAACTGCCTTAACACTATCTGGTCAAATAATGATTTGTTTTTAAAACTTCTGCAGTTGCAGCTGGAGCACTAGTACAGCGGGTAGGACATTTGCCTAGTACATAGCCGAACCAGGTTCAATTCCCAGCATCCCATATGGTCCCCTAAGTACTGCCAGGAGTAATTTCTGAGTGCAAAGCCAGGAGGAACCCCTGTGCACTGCTGGGTGTGACTCAAAAAGAAAAAAAATAAACAAATTCTGGAGTTTAAAAGTACAAGTAATACCAAAGTTGAAAAAGAAAACCCAACAAACTTGAATATAGGGAAATGGAAAGAATTAAGTGAAGAAGGAAGAGAGAGAGAGAGAGAGTGAGAGAGAGAGAGAGAGAGAGAGAGAGAGAGAGAGAGAGAGAACAAACCTTGAAGATAACTGAAAAAAAGACACATTGTTTGTATTCAGGAGGTGTGTTCTGATGTTCAGGACCTCAAGATCCTCAGAACACATAGCAGCACCAAAGTACACAAGTTACAGTCCCAAAACAAAACTGAGTAGAGCCTAAGGGAAATCACTAAGTGGGCATCATAAAGTTCAAGATGACAGAGTGTTTGAAGACATGACAAAAACCTTCCAAATGTGATGAAAGACCACAGTAAACATCAAATAAGCTTTATAAACTCTAGAGTTATGGCAAAACGGCAGGAAATGAAAGACAACCGCCACACTTCCTTTTCCTAGCAAACAGTTCTGAAACCATGATCCTGTGAAAAATGAGATGGCCAGAGGAGCAGTCTCCCTGGGGAGAAGTGACAAGGAACACCGCAAAGGACAGAAACCTGGTGGGTATACTTGTAGGGTCCCGCAACAACTCGAGAGGACGGGCAGCTGCTAAATACAGCCCTTCTTCGGAGGTTGCAGGGCTCACACCCACATCAGGGGTCTTGACACCAGAAGACTGCATCAGGGAAGGAACACATGGCCAGGGATGGAATTCAGAAAGCATTTTCCTCCACAGAATAGTAAGATACTGGGAAGCAAAGATCTGCAGCTGAGAGCTAGGGGAGCAGGGGTGGATGCCCCGCTGCTGAACTCCAAGACCTGGCACCCCTGCCGTGGGGAGCACCCACGAGGCATTTGTCCAAGGCAGTGACTGACAATTTGAAGGCTACAGAGAGCTGGAGTCTGAGCTCTCAGGGAGGGCCCAGCTGGGGACCAAACAAGTCCACCCGTGGCCTCTGCAAAGCGTCTCCTCTTTACAACAGGCTTCTGTGTTATGAGAAACACCTGTTCATCCCCAAAGGCGCTATCAGCAGAACTACCCACGCTGCCGCTGTCTCTACTTGGAACTTAGAACACAGGTTGTAGCAGAAGAAGCCTGCACTGCTGGGCAAAGTTTGACTCCTGGAAACTGCTGGACACTGATCCCATCACAGCTCTATCCTCCCAACAGTGGCACCCTTCCTGAAACCCACCCTTGGAGAGAGATTTCACAGTGGTCAGTTAGGGAAGCTATCATTTACAGATGGCACCTGCAGGCCCTGAGAAATGACCTTCTGTATTTTTCTGTCACACTGGTGTGATTGCCGCTGTCTCCCTCCAAACCTATGGCCACCAGATTTCTCTCCTGTTTGCTCTGTTAAAGATCTGGGTTACAGTCTCCCTGATGTGGGCTTCCTCAAAAAAGAAGTGAAAAAAAAAATGTGTTAGATATTGCCGTAGGTAGCACTGCAGCACTGTCCTCCCGTTCTTTATCGATTTGCTCGAGCGGGCACTAGTAACATCTCACACAAATTGTGAGACTTGTTACTGTTTTTGGCATATCGAATACGTCACGGATAGCTCACCAGGTTTTGCTGTGCAGGTGAGATATTCTCGGTAGCTTGCCGGGCTCTCAGAGAGGGGCAGAGGAATTGAACTTGGGTTGGCTGTGTGCAAGGCAAACGTCCTACCCGCTATACTATCGCTCCAGCCCATTGTCTTAGGTACTTCTACTTATTAGTATTATTTTTCCATTTTAAATATAAGAAAATTAAGGCTTATAAAGGTTAAACAATAATCCCAAAACATGAACCAGCCAGTAGAGACAACATACACCCAGTTCACAGTGAAGTGTCTTTTGCTCTTTAAAATGAAGCAGCAGACACTCCTGCACAGTAGTCAGAAGCAAATCAGACCTCACTAACATCAGAGACTGTAACAGTTGTCTGATCTAAAAATTTCAACTGATCTATGATATGAATAATATTGAAACCACTGGACTAGATCTCCTTCTAGAGAGGCTGTTTTCCTTAAGATTCTCTTTTTTTTTTTTCTCACAAAAAAAAAGTGTATATGTTGTACATATAGTTTGTTTCTGGAACACATCTGGCAGTGCTCAGGGTCTGCGCTCAGGAGACCATATGGGGTGTTAAGGATTGAGTGCAGGTCGGCTTTGTGCAAGGCAAGTGTCCTACCTGCCGATTATCTTTCAGCTCCACCTTAAGATGCTCTTCTTATATATCTAATATTAATATTTTCTAATAACTGTACTGTGGCTAAGTTAATGTGCTTCCTGTCTTAAACCATATGTAAAAGACTATGTAGTCCTTCTATGTCTATCCATTTATAAGCAAATTTCATTACTTCATCTCTCCTATAACAGCTGCATAGTATTCAGTTGTGCAGATGTACCAAAGTTTCTTTAACCGGTCATCTATTCTAAGGCACTTGGGTTCTTTCCAGATTTTGGCTATTGTGAACAGTGCTGCAATAAACATATAGGTACAGATGTCATTTCTACTGTGCTTTTTTTGCATCCTCGGGATATATTCCCAGAAGGGGTATTGCGGGGTCATATGGAAGCTCACTTTCCAGTTTTTGAAGGACTGTCCATATTGTTTTCCAGAAAGGCTAAACTAGAGGGCATTCCCACCAACAGTGAAAGAGTGTCCCTTTTTCCCCACATCCATGCCAGCACTGGTTGCTTTTGTTCATTTGTGGAGCATAAAACAACATAACATGAGACTGACATGAGGCTGACACCTAAGGATAGTAGATACACGGAACAGGAAGATCACTCCATAGCTGGAAGTCTGCCTCATGAGCAAAGGGGAGAAGGCAGATGGAATAGAGAAGGGATCACCAAGAAAATAATGGCTTGAGGAACCAGTCAGGATGGGAGATGTGTGCTGAAAGTAGATAATGGACCAAACATGATAACCTCTCAGTACCTGCATTGCAAAACATAATGCCCAAAAGTAGAATATTGGGGAATATTGTCTGCCATGGAGGCAGGGGCAGGGTAGGAAAAGGAGGGTATACTGGGGAGATTGGTGGTGGGAATGTGCACTGGTGGAGGGATGGGTGTTTGATCATTGTGTGATTGTAGCCCAACCACGAAAGCTTGTAACTATCTCACGGTGATTCAATAAAATTAAAAAAGAAAAAGACTATGTAGTATTCGAAGTACAAGGCTGTGTTTCAATATCACAAAAGCCTTAACTGTGTAAACCAAAGATATGTATCTTAGAAATAGTTTTGCATACTTTTAATATTTCAAAATCAATATCATGCTTCAAACAATTTTTTACCTTTTTCTTGCCTGTTATAGTCCATTCTTTGAGTACTTCATTGGCACTACCTATAAAGAGAAGTCAATAATGATATTTTTTTCCCCAATGTGCGTATGAGCAAGCAAGAATTGTGTCCCTGCATTTTGTAATTGCTGGAGTATTTCCATAGTTCCTGGTAGGAAAAGTTCACTTGACTAAGCACTGCCAGGGTTAGCCCTGGTGGTCCCCAGCTCTTACAGAGCCTGGGCAGCACCTGCCACCCGAGCACCATGTGGAAGGCCAAAAACAAAGAAAAACAAAAACGAAGACCAGAGTTCGATCCCTAGCACCGCTGAGTACATCCCTGGCAGTCTCCTCCTAACCCCTTCCACTGCTGGGCCCAAGCACCACTGTACTGCCAGGCCCTAGCACTGAGGCATTTGGCGCACCAGGGCCTAGCACTGCTGCGAGTGAATCCCAGGACCCATAAGCACTGACTGGGAATGCTTGCCCTCCCAAGGTTTTTTTCTGAAATTCCTATTCATCCCAACACCCATCAAGTCTATCAAAAAGCAGATGACATTGCTTCTTAAAAATATTATTAGAGAATATTTTAAGACAGTTCTTCAAGCTTATTTCTTATTACAAATATTATAAAATGCAAGAATAGATCATTTCTAGGGCTCTAACAATTATCTTTAAGATCACGGTATCACGGTCCTTCCGTTGTTCATCGATTTGCTTGAGCGGGCCCAGTAACGTCTCCACCATAAGACTTGTTGTTACTGTGTTTGGCATATCGAATACGTCACGGGGAGCTTGCCAGGCTCTGCCGTGCGGGCGAGATACTCTCGGTAGCTTGCCAGGCTCTCCGAGAGGGGCGGAGAATTCGAACTCGAGTCGCCCATGTTGGCTGCGTGCAAGGCGAACGCCCTACCGCTGTGCTCTCCAGTCCATCTTTAAGATATATTTTAAAAAATAGAATGCTGGGCCAGAGAGAGTACAGTGGCTGGATGCTTGCACTGCATGCAGCTGATTGAGGGTCAACCTCTAGCACTGCATATGATGCCTCAAACCCCCCAAGGAGTGATCACTGGGTATAAAGCCAGGAATGAGCCCTGAGCATCACCAGGTGAGACCCAAAACAAAACAAAAGTATATTATATTATCATAATCTGTCATACCAGTTATTAAATACCAGTTATTAAATACAGGGGTGTAAAACGTGCAGTCATGTGTCTTATTGGTACACGACAGGACAGACACATCTGTTTTCTCTCATCTGCCTGCAATTCATCTGCCCGTATTATATGGCCTACAAATCATGCTAGAAATATCCAAATGGCCATTGGCAGGAAAAAAACAAGATTCCCCACCCCTACTTGTAAAGTCTAAAGAAATACCAATTTGAAGAAACATAAACCTATGTCCAAAATTGAGCTAGGATTACCTTCCATGAATGCTTGTACTGTTCTGTCCACACAATTATCAAAGTGCTGCAAAACCAGGATGATTTCATTGTTGCTCTTATTGGGAACTATTGCGCGCACAGCATTTATCTGGAAAAGATAACGAAGTCATTTTATTCTAACATTGTTTGGCAGCTAAGGTCTATTGCACAGAATAACAAAAGGAGTGGCATTTCATTTTTGAGGTGGTGAGGCTTCTGAATGAGATCTGAAGGTTTAGGCTGAGGCCTAAAGATGCGGTGCTACTCAGGAAGCACTGAGGTGTGAGGAGCCTTGAGGGTCATCCTGGCAGTATTTGAGGGCCTCCTGGGTTACATCCAGTGATGCCTGGGGGAGGTGACACAGTTCAGGTATCAAACCCAGGTTGGGCATCCGGGTAGTCTATGATCCCAGCTAACATAGCATGAATTTTTTTGTTTTTGAGTCACATCTGTCAGTGCTCAGCAGTTACTCCTAGCTTGCATTTAGGAATTACTTCTGGCTCAGGGTATCATAATTGGTGAAGGAGACTGACCTAAGGTTGGCCACATGCAAGGCAAACCCCCACCCACCATACTATTTCTTTGATCTTGAAGTATTATTTCGACTGTATTACTCATGACTGTCAGTGAGTACAGACAATCATCTTCTGGGGAGTAATTTACACATGAGAAAGAGCACATAAAAACTCATTTCAAGGGCCAGAGACATAGTACAGGGAGTAAGGCTTTCATGTGGCCAACCCAGGTTCAATCCCTGACACTTCATATGGTCCTCTGAATCCCACCAAAAACGATTCTTGAGTGCAGAGCTAGAAGCAAGCCCTGAGCACAGCCAGGTATAGCCTCAAAACAAAACAAACAAACATTAGTTTTTTCTGTGAACAGTGAGAGACCATCTCTATCATATATATCCACCAATTAAACTCATCAATAACTGGGTTTCATTAGGTAATGTCAAATTGCTCTTTGAGACATAAGCACTAGTTTTTTCAATTCAAGGTATTTCTTTTCTTTTTTTTTTTTTACTTACAATAATTCTTTATCTATCTCCTTCTCGTCCTCCCTCTCCCTCTATTATGGTCTTTGGGTCACACCTTGTGGTACTCAGGGATCCCTGGGGCTCACAAGACCCCATGTCATGCCAGATTAGACACTGCCCTCCCGTTGTTCATCAATTTACTCGAGCGGGCCCAGTAACATCTCCATTTTGAGACTCGTTGTTACTATGTTTGGCATATCGAATACATCACGAGTAGCTTGCCAGCCTTTGCCGTGCTGGCAAGATACTCTCTAACTATCTCTCGGTAACTTGCCGGGCTCTCCAAGAGGGGTGGAGAAATCGAACCCGGCTTGGCTGGGCTGGCTGCATGCAAGGCAAACACCCTACCGCTGTGCTATAGCTCCAGCTGACACGTGCAATGCAAACCCTCTATCCACTGTATATCTATTCCATTTCTGTATATAAATTTTATATCCAGCAATTCTGGTTAACTTGCTATTCCTATTTAGTGCTGTTTTTTAAAATGTAGTGTACTAGGAGTTGTGGTGTCACCAGGAGGTCAACCAGTACCCACAAGGCAAGTACATCAGCAGCCTGATGGTGTCTTCAGGCTTCCTGATACCCCAAAATTGCCTCTGTGCCTCTGGTCGGACCCCAACTCAGGACCAAGTTTCTCAAGTGTAGGATGACACTGCTTTGTCCTTTCTCCCTTGCCACAAGGAGCTTAGGTTTATCAGTTACACCCGTCACAATGCTCCCGAGTCACTCCCATTCCTTCGTTTATCTGTAACCACTTCTCTATGCTCTCTTCTTCAACCAGTTAATCAGCTTTCCCCCCAAATCAGACTCTGTTAATTATTTGTAAGGTCAGATCCTTCTAGGACACTGAAATTGTACTATAAGTTAATATTGCCTTTCTCCTCTCCTTATGTCTTTTGAATAGTTTACTTTAAAGCAATGTCCTTTTTGTATAGATACAGGCAGACCGTTAATATTATGCTGTGTAACTTAGGATTTAATTGGCTCTGAATATTATTCACTCCCGGGCATCTGCTTTCTCGACTTACGCCTCAGTTGCCCTTGGTTCCTAACACCCCAAAAGCAGGGTCCCAACAAGGGACTGAATGGACCCAGCGCAAGCGGTGAGCTACCCTGGCATCGAAATGGGCCAGGCCTAAGTGCCATGATTCTTAACTGTAAGTTAAGAGTTTGATCATAGACGGCCATGATCCAAAAGTAGCAACGAGACTAGGACACTGCTAGGGATAGGAAAGACTATGTGGCCTGAGCACTGTGATCTGAGATCAAGATGGCCCTAGGAGAGCAATTCTATAAGCTTACGTATTTCTTACTGTATCCATACAAAATGATTTATATTATGTATGCTTATATGTTTGTTGGACAAGGAGAAGAGAAACACACCCAGAGGATTCCGTTCTAGGGTGGGTCGTCCTGCTGAGAGAGTATCTGTCCTAGAAGCTGCTTTCCCTGAGGGAAAGAACTTTACCCCTATTGATTTTGACCACACCTATATGTAATTGTTACCCCAACCCCTCATGCTTTGGGATTTAACTAGACTGTAAGAGTGGACTGGGGGATCAGAATCGAGACTCCAGAGGAGGAGGAGAAAGAGGATCAGAATCCAGACTCCCGAGCAAGAGGAGAAAGGGAATCAGGATCAGTATCCAGACTCTAGAAGGAGGATGAAGGGGGATTGAGGAGGAGAATGAAGTAACATGGGGGAGGAAGAAGTAGGAGGAGAATCAGAGGAAAATGGAGATGGGAATGGAATAAACTGCAACTAAGATCAACCAGCCTAGTCTTCGTTCCTTCCTTCGCCTGCCCATCGCCATCGACCTCCCTGGGGTGGGGGAACCAGCGTGAGACTACCGAACACGGGCGGCAGGAGAGATAGAGCCGCTGCCGGTTTTTTTTGAGTTTACACACTCGAGCAATTAAACAGCCTAAAGGTAAGTATGTGGGAGTCACAGCCACGAACAACTTCCAGCTCAGTTATACAAGCTCATTCATCAGTCTAGCTACAAAGACACATAAATCTTGAAAGGGGTCAAAAGCCACAGTTAATCTCAGACTGGCGCAAGGCTGAACAGCCCAGGGTAAATTTAGGGGGGACAGGTCAGTGTGGTGCCCACCCACCCAAGCAGAGCCCCTGGCAGCCGCTTGCTCCCACAATCCAAAATCGCTGCCATGCTCCCAGCTGGACTTCACCATCTCAGGATGGACCTCACTGAGATATTAACCTGATGAAAATAGGGGTATGCGGGTTTTGTGACTGAAATCTCCAAGCTTTCTCAGGGTCGGGATGGGCTACCTGCCCCCACATCCATGTACTTCTGGAAGCCTCAGCAGTAAAAACCCCAAAGCTACCACCCAGTTTAAAAAGCTACTCCAAGGGCTGGAGCTATAGCACAGTGGGTAGGGCATTTGCCTTGCACGCAGCCAACATGGCCAACACAGGTTCGATTCCCAGCATCCCATATGGTCCCCCGAGCACCGCCAGGAGCAATTCCTGAGTGCATGAGCCAGGAGTAACCCCTGAACATCGCCAGGTGGGACCCAAAAGGAAAAAAAAAAAAGCTACTCCAGCCTTACCTTCCCGACAAAAATACTGAACACCCTGAACAAACACAATGACCTCTTAGTATCTGTATTGCAAACCATAATGCACAAAAGGAGAGAGAGAAAGAAGTTCCTGCCATAGAGGTAGGTTATTGGTGAGAGGGGGATGTTGGGGGATAGGGGGAAGGAAATGGGGAACATTGGTGGTGAGAAATGTATATTGGTGGAGGGATGGGAGTTGGATCACCGTATGACTGAAACCTAATCTTGACCAGCTTTGCAATGGTCTATCTCCTGGTGATTCAATAAGTAATTTTTTAAAATGTGGTTTATTATGATGAAATTGTTATTTATTATGAGTTCATCATGTCGACCAAGACCATCCATAGTAATTCACAGTTACAGAAGGCAGAATCTAAACGTTGGACATGAGAGTCTCCCGGTGGATGATTCCACAACGAAATAGACCACATCATATTCAATTGACGGTTTTGCCTGACCGATGTCGCTGTTGTCCCAAAATTTCGAACAGGATCGGACCACCATCTCCTTCGTGCAAAATTCTACTTCACAGAGCGGGGAGAAAGGGCTGCAAAGTTCAAAAAGAGAACTCCCAGAACGACCACCAACTGGGAACTCTTTGGCACTATTGCGCAACATGGGAAGATGCCATTGTTGACAACATTGATGAGGAATACGATCGACTGGTTCAGCACCTCCATGAATGTGCGAGGAACGCCAAGAGAGAGATAGCCACAAAAAAATCGCCTATCTTCGAAAACTCTTGAGCTAATTCGCCAGCGTGGTTTGGCGCATGCCTCAGGCAACCGCAAGCTAACGTCTGAGCTCGCAAAGCAGTGCAGACATGCGATCAAGGAAGACCTCAAAGAGAGAAGAGCAGAAGTGCTGGTAGATGCGGCAGAAGCTGGGAAAAGTATTCGTTACGCCCGCCTGTCCTTCGCCAACTACAAGACCAAGATGATTGCCCTCCGACGTCCTGATGGATCCATCACATCCTCCAGAACGGCAATGGAGAAAATTATCCATGACTTCTACTCAAATCTCTTCGATAGCCATGTCCACTTGCCGACATACCAAATTCCACAGGATGGATATGTTGTTCCCAATGTTCTCCCTTCTGAAATCCGACACGCCATTTCGTCAGTAAAGAAACAAACAGCACCCGGCCCAGACAAGGTCAGACCTGAACACCTGAAGAACCTGCCATCATTACTCATCAATACACTGGCTCGGCTCTTCACTCGCTACCTGTCTGAATGCAAGGTTCCATCCCAATGGAAAACCAGCAGGACTGTACTACTGTTCAAGAAGGGAGACATCCATGACATTGGCAACTATCACCCGATCTGCCTATTGTCTGTCATCTACAAGTTGTTCACTCGAGTCATCCTAAATAGGATTGGCAGAACACTAGATGAAGGACAACCATGCGAGCAAGCCGGGTTCCGCAAAGGATTCAGCACCATTGATCATATCCACACCATAACCAAGCTCACTGAGGTTTCTCGGGAGTTCAAGATGCCACTCTGTTTAACGTTCATTGATTTAAAGAAGGCCTTTGATTCTGTTGAGACGGAAGCGGTCATTGAAGCTCTAGCCAATCAGGGCATTCAAGCCCAATACATCAAGATCCTCCGTGAGCTGTATTGCGGATTCACTACCAGGATCTCACCATTCTACAAAGAAGTGATTGTTGATGTCAAGAGAGGGGTTCGGCATGGTGATACCATTTCACCGAAACTCTTCAGTGCCACCCTCGAGAACATCATGCGACGACTGGAATGGGAAGGAATGGGAGTGAAGATAGATGGTCGACAACTACACCACCTCTGCTTTGCTGATGACATTGTTTTAATAACACCAAACATCAGCCAAGCGGCACAAATGCTGGCCGTCTTTGACCATGAGTGTGGAAAGGTAGGACTACAGCTGAATCTTACGAAGACAATGTTTATGAGAAACAGCCTCGTTCCTGATGCCCCATTCGCTCTCAACGAAACGACCATCTCCGAATGCAACAGCTATGTGTACCTACGTCGAGAAGTCAACATGACAAATGACCTGGCACCCGAGCTGCGCAGGAGGAAGAGAGCGGCTTGGAACGCCTTCAAGAACGTCGAAGAAATAGCTAAGAGGACGAAGAACCTCCAGCTCCGGGCACATTGCTTTGATTCCACTGTTCTTCCTGCACTAACATATGCCTCAGAGACCTGGGCCCTACGCAAACAGAATTAGAACGCTATTCAGGTCTCCCAAAGAAGAATAGAAAGAGCTATGCTTGTAATATCATGTTTCACTCAAATGAGAGAAAGAATCCGGAGTTCCGACATCCGTCGACGATCAAGAATCAGGGACGCTGTCTCATTTGCCAAGGTGTCAAAAATCAGATGGGCTGGTCATGTAATGAGATTTAAAGACGACCACTGGACTAGAGCTGTTACCGACTGGATTCCACGGGATGTCAAAAGACCGCGTGGCCGCCCACCTATCAGATGGTCAGACTTCTTCATCAAGATCATGAACGATCGGTTTGAGGCTCTTCATGTTCCCAGAGCGAATAGATGCCATTGGGCTACACTAGCACACGACAGGGACAAATGGAGACGTTACTGGCGCCCGCTCGAGCAAATCGCCGACTAACGGGAAGTTAAATGATTTTTAAGTGATTAAGTGGTTTATTATACTGTCTATAAATAACAGCATTTTTGCTTTTTGTTGGGTTGATGACACTCAACTGTGCTTAGGGTTCATTCCTGGTTCAAAGCTCAGGAAACACTCCCAGTGGTGCTCAGGGGGTCATCTGCACTGTCAAGGATTGTACCAAAGTTGGCCACCTGCAAGGCAAGCACCGATGCCCCAATACTATATAGTTGGCACTGCAGCATTCTTTTTCTTCCTTTCCACTCCTTATAATTTTCATTTCTTGCCTAACTCTACAATGCAAAATTGGCTATTAATAACAACAAGGCCTGATTGTTTTTATAAGGATGTGTCAGAGAGACTGGAGCAATAGCACAGCAGATAGGGCATTTGCCTTGCAACATGGCCAGCCTGGGTTGTCTGATTCCCAGCATCCCGTATGGTCCCCCGAGCACCACTTGGAAAAATTCCTGAGTACAAAGCCACGAGTAACCCCTGAGCATTGCCGAGTGTGACCCAAAAAGAAAAAAAAAAAAAGAAAAAAAAAAGGATGTGTGTCAGAAACCAAGACCTAGGGCTGAGGAGTTATCTCCAGGTATATGTGGGGATTCCAGGTCTGATATCCAGCACCTTACAAGCACTGGAGGAAACAGTCCCCAAGATTGAGTCAAAAAGAGTCCCTGAGCATTGCAAGGTACATCTCTCCAAAAGAAGGAAAAACAAACAAAAACCAACAGCCAGAGAGTTAGTTCAGGGGTTAAGGCACTTGCCTTGCTCGCATCTCATCCCAGTTCGAATCCCTAGTACCATATAGGGTCCTCCCAAGCACTGCCAGTACAGAGCCAGGAACAACGGCCCCTGAGTGCCAACTAGTGTGGGCCCAAAACCTGAACCCTTGTGCTGAAAATCGGAGCCAAGACGTTACTGTGACTGGAGTCATTCATTCTAGTCGTCTCAATGAATGCAGTTAAAAGATCTTTAAAAACTGTGAGCTTTGTGAAGACATGAAATTTACATACAAGTGGTACAACATGGAAAGTATCATGCTAAGCGAAATGAGTCAGAAAGAGAGGGATAGACATAGAAAGATTGCATTTATCCTGGGGATATAAAGTAACAAAATATGAGATTAATACCCAAGAATAGCTGAGATCAGCACCAGGAGGATTACTCCATAATTTAGAGGCCAGCCGGGTATTCTAGGGGAAAGGGCACTTCAGATACAGAAGGGAGCACCAAATAAAGGGTGTTTGGAGGATCCTCCCAGGAGGGGAGATGCACGTCGAAAGTAGACTATGGACTGAACATGTTTGCCACTCAATGCCTCTTTTGCAGACCACAACACCCAAAACGAGAGAGAGAACACAGGGGATTGCCCTGCCACAGAGGCAGGGTGGGAGGGGGGTTTGGGGACTGGGAGGGATACTGGGATCAGTGGTGGTGGAGAATGGGCACTGGTGGAGGGATGGGTATCTGATCATTGTACAATCAAAACCCAAGCACAAAAAATTGTAAATCTACAACTGTACCTCATGGTGTTTCACTAATAAATAAATAAATAAAAATTTTAAAAAATTAAAATAAATTAAAAAAAAAAAACCTGCGGGCTTTGGGGACTAGAGAAATAGTACAGTGGCTGGGGCACTTGCCTTGCACATGGTCAACTCAGGTCCTACTCCAAATGGTCCCCTTAGCCTGCTAAGAGTGATCCCTGAGCCTAAAGTCAGGAGTAGGCCCTGAGCACTGCCACGTTTGACCCCAAAACAAATTGTAATGTGGGGGTTGTTCTGAATCATATTCAGCAGTGCTCAGTGAGTACTCTGGGCACGCCCTCAGGGTCACGCCTGGTGGGTTTCCTGGGATAGAACAAGGATCGGCTGCATGCAAGTTAAGGACCTTATCCACTGTACAATTTCTCCATCCTCAAGGTTTTGGTTTTTCAGAATATGAATAAATAAAAATAAACTCTATTGACATCTTCAACTCATATATACATTTTGGGGATGAGCAAAAAACCTAGTATTGAACAATATAAAAATGAACACATTAGGTTAAAGATTCACTGTCAAAGTTATATTCTAATTACTTAAAATATGAAAGTAAGAGCTGGAGCAATAGTACAGCAGGTAGGGAGGGCAATTGCCTTGTATGTGGCTGACCCAAATTTGATTCCCGGCACCTCATACGGTCCCCTGAGCACCACCAGGAATGGTCCCTGAGTACAGAGACTGTACTCTACTGAGACTGTACTGAGTAAGCCCTGAGCACGTTGGGTGTAGCCCCAAAACCAAAATAAATGAAATTTAAAAATGAAGCTATTTCATTATTAAATTAATGTAAATGTCTGACTCAATAATCAGAATATGTATTTTTTTATTAGAAAAACCGCATGAAGCTTTTTTTCTCAGCATAGCTCATTAAGGGTTATATTATGGAAAGCAATAATTTCTTCTGGAAGAAATCTTTAAAAGTTCTCCTCAAGTGATTGAGCAAAATTCTACTTAGATAAAAACGTCTAGAACTCAAACCACAGCCATGCTCAAGTTCGCTCTCCACAGGCTCTCCTCACCTACAGGGGAACCTGCAGAAAAACCAACGTATGCAGCAGCCGTGACTGAGATTTCCAAGCTCGCCTGGAACGGGTCTGGGCCTCCTCCCCACAGCTTCCCAGTTTTCCAGTGGCTTAGCAGTCACACCCACAAGCTGCCCCCAGCACCACATAATCTCAACAATGGCCAATAAGAGAGTGATGTAGGCTTTATCCATGAGCTAATCTGCTCTATAATCACATTCTAAATTTCAGAATTCCTGGACCTCTCTAGCCCAGTGATGTACCAAAAGAGGCACACATTAGTTTGGCTTTAACATACATGTTTGTGATCTCTTATTCAACGGTTTAAATGGCTCCAGGATGCAATACAACAATCTTCAAATACTTCTCTCTTATGGTGGTGGGAAAATGCATGGTGGTGTGAGTAGAGTTTGAATATTGAACGTACTGAATTATGGTGAACAATTTATGAAAATAAAAACTTTTTTAAAATGTCGTCATCAGAAATTAGATTTACTGTATAAGGAGACAAGCAAAGAATATAATGCTGACACTTAATAGGCTCTGACTGCTCAAAAGTTTCTCTGATAAGCAGTTACATGATATACAGCAATATTCTATTTTGTTCTCTAATTTTAATTTTCTTAATGCGTTTGCAGGTTTTTATTGTATTGGGGCTTAAATTTTTACTATGACATTCCCATTCCTATGACAATCCCAAGATATCCATCTTAACTAGTCATACCTTCTCTTTCATGTTCTCAAAGGTTCCTCCCTGGGCCAGTACAGTATTGGACTGCAAATCAAAAATGAATCCTGATGAATCTGAAAGAATGTGAAAGAAAAAATATATTCAATATGATCCAAAAATAACATGCAATCTGTTCTCCAAACAAATGGGTGAAAACCAAATGCCTTCTTTCCATAAACTGTTAACAATTAATTTGCTTTTTAGAAAATTCTATATAACTGATAATTACATTTTAATTAAAACTATAAAGTTAATTTTGATCTTAATAGAAATTGTTACTTCTTAAGAAAAGGATTAGAGAGCCGGAAAGACAGTAAAGGTGTTTGCCTTGTAAGCAGCCATCCTGGTTCGATCACCAGTATTCCATATGGTCCCTCAAGCCCTGCCAGGAATGATCCCTGAGCACAGAGCCAGGAGTAAGTCCTCAGCACCACTAGGTGTGGCCCAATCCCTCCACACACACATATACACACACACAGTAAATAAAAAGAAAGAAAATTAGACACAGCAACTCCAGATAGTAGTTTGTCCTATAATCCTTGTTATCTATCCAATCTTAACATAGAAGATCTTCTGTACGTTATACAGTATATACAGGTGTAAGTTGTACACCCAAAGGTTTAAAGTGCTGTAAACCAAAGGTATTTACTACCTCTCTGACCCTGGGAATTATGATTTCAGTATTGCAATTAGAAGAAAAAAAGAGCTCCAGTGGTTTGAGTGTTTTCACTCTCTCAAATTTCTCCATTAAATCTTACTTCTGGGTGGGGGTGGCAGGAAAATGGGAACATTGGTGGTGGAGAACGGGCACTGGTGGAGGGACGGGCACTCAATCATTGTATGACTGAAACATAATCATGAAAGTCTGAAAGTCTGTAACTGTATCTCATAGTGATTCGTTTAAAAAAAATCTCACTTCCCAAATTATGGCTATAATATTGAGGTCTCTGGAAGGCAAATAGGTCACACAGATAGAGCCCTCATGAATGGGAATCATGTGCTTATAAAAGATTCCTGAGAAAGGCTAGCTCCTATCATTCCTTTGAGGAAACAAGAACCTGTGATCCAGAAAGGAGCTCTCACTCCAGCTTCCAGACGGTGAGAGTCAATTTCTTTTGTTTATAAGCCCTAGTTTTGGACAAACTTGCAGGCTATCGAATGTAGCCTGCCCACAGGGCAGAGTCTGGCAAACTCCCCGTGGCCTACCAAATATGCCAAATACCAGTAACAATGATGGGTCTCATTCTCCTAAAGAGCCGTGAATAGAATCTCAGGGCTAGGATGAAAGAGACGTTACTGGGGCCTGCTCGAGGCAATCGACGATTAACAGGATGATGAAATGAAATGAAATAAGCCCTAGAGCCAGAATTCTTGTTATAACAAACAAACCAGAGTAAGAGAGGGGTTACAAAAACAAAAAATTGTAATCTCGAAAATTGTTTTAGGGGCTGGAGCATAGCACAGCAAGTAAAACTTTTGCCTTGCACACAGCAGACCCGGTTTCGATTCCCAGCATCCCATATTGTCCCCAGAGCACCACTAGAAGAAATTCCTGAGTGCAGAGTCAGGAGAAATTCCTTTGCATCACCATGTGTGACCCAAAAGGCAAAAAGAAAAAAAAATTTAAATTTTAAAAAATTTACAGTAATAGGGGATAGTTTGAAGGAACGGAACATATGCTTTGTTATGTTATAGGTCTCAAATTTGATCCTCGACATAAAATGCCTCCCAACTGTCGATGCCACTACCAGTCTGCCAGGTACTGCTGCCAAGAACCAAACCCATCATGTCTGTACTGTAGGGAGTGAGTCCCACACAAGCACTGCTGGCATCTCTCTCTCTCTGTATCTATGTAAATTATCAAAAATGAACTATATATTTCAGGTAAGATTCATAAGACTTTATCATTTATTTCACTTTATCAGAAATCTATCAAATTTCTTAGAATTATTTCAGATATCACACATTCAAGTATATTTTGGGAACGATGTTATTTACATTGTTCGAGTGGGCCAAGTAACGTCTCCACTGTGACACTTGTTACTGTGTTTGGCATATCAAATATGTCACGGGTTGCTTGCCAGGCTTTGCCGTGCGGGCAAGATACTCTCGGTGGCTTGCCGGGCTCTCCGAGAGGAGCGGAGGAATCAAACCCGGGTCGGCTGGGTCAGCCATGTGCAAGGCAAACGCCCTACCCGCTGTGCTATTGTCCCAGCTTTGGCATATTAATAAATACAGCAGGTTGTTATTGATTTCTGATGTAAAAAAATCAGACAAAAATGTAGATAATGAAAAATTAGAAATACCAGAAATAGAGGCTGGAGAGGCAATACAGTGTGTAGGACAGTTGTCTGAATGTGGCTAGTCATTTAGGGTTCAATCTCTGGCATCCCATATGGATACCCTACGCACCACCAGGAGTTATCTGGAGAACACCAGGAGTGTTGCCAAAAAAAAAAAAAAAGTAGCAAAAACCAACTAAACAAACAAGCAGAACAGAAATAGGATGAGAGAGATAGTAGAGAGGAAAGGAAGCTTGCTTGCCTTATACAATACCAACCCAGGTTCTGTTCCTAATACCACCCTGGTGGTCCAATAAGCCCTGCCAAGTGTGATGCCTCAGCACAGAGCCAGGAATAGGACATAAACATGACCTGCTGAGGCCCAAAAACCAAAACCACCACCACCCTCCAATGAAATAAAAATAGAGCAGGCTAGACAGTACAGAGGATAGGACACTTGCCTTGCACAAGGCCAACCTGGGTTCAATTTCCAACACCCCATATGGTTCCCTGAACCCCTTCAGGAGTGACCCCCTGAGCATAGAGCAATGAGTGAACCAAGCCCTGAACACTACTGGGTGTGGCCCAAACACCAAAACCAAAATAAGAAAGAGAAAAAAAAAAACACTAGAAATATCTGAATCTGATTATCCCATCTACCAAACCAATCTTGCCTACATGTTTGGAACTCTGGGTCTGAATACTGGCACTACCAAACTAACCTTGAACAAACACCCCAATGGGTTTCAAAATAGTTTTTCTGTTGATTTCTAGTTTAACATATTGTATTGGCACATATGCTGCCAGAGCCCATGTGCTGCCTGTGCCCACGAGCATACGCGGTGCCTGAGCACGTGTGTCACCCGCATCTCAGATGTGCACGTTCATGCTTCCATGTCTACTGCTGGGATGTGTGTGGCTGCTCTCTCCGCTCTGAGAGAAGCCAGGGTTCTCTCTTGAGCACATGACTCTACACTGTCTCCCACTTTCTCTCCCTCCTTCCCTTCAAAACCTCCAAATAGAAACTAATTTTTTTTTTTTTGGCTTTTTAGGTCACACCTGGCAATGCACAGGGGTTACTCCTGGCTCTGAACTTAGGAATTAACCCTGGCGGTGCTCAGGGGACCATATGGGATGCTGGGAATCGAACCCAGGTTTGCTGCGTGCAAGGCAAAAGTTCTACCCACTATGCTATTGCTCCAGCCCCAAACACTGTAATTTTTTTTTAAAAAAGAACATATTATATTAAGTGTTTTTTATAATAATTTAGTTAAGTTGATTATATTCACACCTATTCAGATGACTATTATAAAAAAAAAGGGAGCAATAGTACAGTGTGTAGGGTGCTTGTTTTGGAAAAAGCTGACTAAGATTCAATCCCTGGTACCCCTAAGACCTGCCAAGAGTGATCCCTGAGCACAGAGCTAGGAGTAAGCCCTGAGTACCACCAGGTATAGCACTAAAAAACAAAAACAAAAGCAAAAAAAATTTAAAAAGTAAAACATGTTTTGGAAAGAATATGTAAATTAGAATCCTTATACATTAATGATGGAATGTAAAATGATAGAGCTGCTCTGGAAAGCTGTAGGATAGCTCCTTAAATAATTAAACAGAGAATTTTCATTTCTTATACAATTCAATAATTTTATTGGAAAGTATATAAACAAAAGAAATGAAAGCAGCAATTTGAACAAATATTTGTACATCCATTTTATAGCTGTCTTATCATAAAGCCAAAGATTCTGGAAGTAACTGTTGTCAGGTGAACGAGTAAACACAACTACACTGAGTTGTCAAATTTAGAACAAATTCAGAACAAAAGTATCACTGTATGTCACCTAATAACAGGGATATGTCCTAAGAAATGTGTCATTAGTCATTTTTGTCACTATGCTACCATGATGGGATATAACTACATGAACCTAGATAGTGGTATATGTAATAATGGAATATTACTCAGCCTTCAAAAAGGTGATTTCTACAACATGATGTTCATACAGCATGGGTGACCCTTGAAGACATTATGCTACGTGAAATAAGCAAAGACAAAAACTGTATGATTCCACTTATATGAGATCCCAAGAGTTGTCAAATCAGAACAAATTTAGAAAGAATAGTAGTTTCAAGTGCTGAGTGCAAAGGGAAATGGTATATTTACTACTTGATCAACACAAAATTTGTTTTGCTGCAGGAGAGTAACAGAAGTACAATGGTCGGGCCTAGTTACATCCCTAGCACCACATAATGATTCTCTGAGCACTGCTAAGAATGATCTCTGAGCTCAGAGCCAAGAGTAAGCCCTCAGTACTAAAAGGTGTAGGCCAAACATCTTCCCGCACACACAATTTCAGTTTGAAAAAAAACTGAGGGAAGTAGAGACAAAGCAACATATAGGCAGCTCTACAGTAAAATATACAGAATATGATATTCTAACCACCCATATAATACAAGGTAAAGAAACATTTGTGATCAGCTATGAAATTTGTTAGCTATTTTAATGTCTCTGGGGTTTAAATATCAAATGTGGAGGAATTTTATTGCTGATGAGAATTACAAAAGGAGAGAGGAAAGCAAACTGACATACAAGATAAAGTGAACCAAGAAAAGTATACTATTTATAAATTTACTTTTATTATAGTAACTCCATAGATTTACTGTACTATCTCTCCAATCCCAATTTCCAGGATTATTCTGACACTGTCAGATATGACAGGCAGATTACCTAACAAAACCAGGACGACTAAAAATATAGAAAAATGTATATGGCTTTCTCTGGTCTGTTCTGTTAAGGC